TTCAGATTTGGGTTATTTATTGACTTATTTTGTCCCCTTATTAATAAACAGTATAATTTACACCTTGGAGTTTAGTAGCATTATAAACACTACTAAAATGTTGGGTTGCTTACAAATGTTTTAGTTTTTCGAAAAAAAAGACTTGTTTTTATCGAACAAAAACGTTAAACATATTAGAATTACACTGTAAATGACAGTAAATAATCATATAAGCCTGAAAACACTTCTACATAGAGTCAGTGTCACTGTGGCCCTAATGCAGGTTTAGAAGATATAAATTTGGCTAGTCGAAAATCTGAGAATAGCCAAGGAAACGATAAAGATGGATAAGGAAAAGACACTGAGTAAAGGAATCTATGGCTTTTTCTTGTCAACTCTGCCCAGAAGGACAGCATCCTGGAGTCCCCCGCTATACTGCCGACACTGAGACTGATGCATGTAGGTACCATATAATGAAGCTGCCAGTTGAGGACCTCTGAGGCATCTGTTTTTCAGACTAGACTCTGATGTACTTCTCCTCTTGCTCAGCTGTGCTCCGGGACCTCCCACTTCTCTTTCTGTTCTTTGTTAGAGCCAGTTTTGCTGCTCTGTGAGGGGAGACGTGCATGCTGTTGAAGTCTTTAAGTTTTCCTTGGCAGTTTCCCACATGGAATAGCCTTCACTTCTTAGAACAAGAACACTCTAACGAGCTTCAGAGGAAGGTTTTTTATTTTTAAATTGGGCAATTTGAAACTATCATTGAACCCACAAGGCTGATGCTCCAGACACAGAACTAACCAATTCTCTACTAATCAGAAGAGTGCCAACCTAACTGTAAAAAGGTCTTGGTAATGATCAGTCAGCTTTACAATAAGTGACACAGCGTATCAACGGAGGACTAAAAGTAGCTGAAAATTAACCTCTGGAGCTATTCTAGTAAATATAATTAGTGATTGCGATGATTAATGATACTACATGCCATTATCTAAAATTTATAAACAATTAAAAAGTTATTTTATGAGAATACAACGGTACACTACAGGGCCTCCTACACATTACACCTACAGGACCTGCTCAGCCATGGAAAACCATGCTATGAAGCTCCCAGTGCACAGTTTTTGTGCTGATGTTAATACCAGAGGAGGTTTGGAGCTCTGCAGTAACTGAGTTAACAGAGCTTTGATAGCACTGTGTGCCTCAGCACTCAGCAACCCAGATGTGGAACTTTATGTGATCCGGCATTTTGCTGTACCAAACATCCACTTTGCATTAATATCATTTACATTTGATGGTGGAATTTCACAACCCATCGTTGCAACGGCGGAAACCTATTACAGTACCACTCTCTTCAGAGCAACCCACTGTTTGAAAAATATTTGTAAAGGCAGGCTGCATGGCTACACCAATTTGCATTTAATCACTAATTATTATGAAGTTATTATTAAGCTCTCACAGAGTGTCTTTTGTCCTGTCTCCCTCCCCGGCCCCTCTGAGCATGGCTCTGCCAGAGGTTTCTTCCTGTTAAAAGGGAGTTTTTCATGTGATTTTTAGGGTTTTCTCTCTATTATTATATTAACTTTCAATATAAAGCACCTTGAGGAAACTGTGATTGTGATTTGGTGCCATATAAATAAAACTGAATTGAACTGGATCCTCTGTGTTTCTGTTTATACACCTGTGACGAGGAGACTGAAATCACATGAATTCAAAGATTAAGAAATGTGGCCCAACACTTTTGTCCATATTGTGTATCATCGTTAAAAACAGGGACATTTGTCAGCGACTACAAACTTTTGTATTACATGGTCAGACACAAACAAGCTGAGAGCCTTTTTTTCCTGACAGCCGGAGTCTTTTGGCATTCAGCAGAATCATTCAACACGCAACTACCATAAGATCTTATGGCGCAACAAAGTCCTCGTTAAAGGCCTCTACTGAGTCTGCCCTACTTCTTTGTAGGTCATGGGCTTATTTATATATCCATCTCTGATTCAGTTTCTTGGATGCATGATATACCAAATCCCATTTTTTCCCCAGAAAACATATGGAGACAAAAATAAAAATGACCACTATGAGACTTCTCTATAAGTTAGGGTCTCTCTAAAAAAGATAAGAGAGATCTGTGTAGCATGCTATCAAGATCTCCTGGTTTATAGATTCAAGAGTAGATATGCACAGTCTTTAGCACAGGTATAATTAATATATGTTCACATGACAATGAAATCATAACACATGGACCCAGACTTAAGCTCTGGAACATAGTACATGTAAACAAACCTATAGTGTGTTTTGCAAATGCTGAAAGAAAAATATCCAAAAAGTAAGTAGCATTATATAAAATAATTAATATACTTCTTTTTGTTTTAGGTTAAAAGACAAAAATAAAAAAATAAATTAAAAAAAACATTTAATGTCTTTTCCTCTTATTTCTCATCTTTCTGTCCCTCCTGTTTGTCCACACAGCTGCTATTCCAAAGTGAAACCCTGCTGAATGATTTTCAGGAATGTGTGCCAGGAGGACTGGGACAACTAAATAAAGACAAAAATTAATGCTGTACCACTGAGAATACAATTTAAAGGAACACATGTACAGCTAGGATCACATCAGTTTGCTTCAGCTTGCAGTAACTAAGGACACTTAGATCCATCCTAAGTGGTTCCTACTTTACTCAACAGGATGTTGGCAAAGAAAAATGTAACAATATAAGAAGCAGTTAGGCCATTAAAGAACTTTGGTACAGTTGGTACATATGGCACACCTTGAACTTACCATGGTTACTATAGCCCAGACGTTAAACTAAGGTGACTGTTGGTTGTTGGTGCCAGTGGGCTGGACTCAATATTATTACACAACCTCTAAGCTATGCAGACGAGCATCTCCAACAACACTTCAAACCTTGACGCAGATGGGCTTCAGCTGCAGAAAACTCCACCCGGTGCCACTCCTGTCAGCTAAGAATGGGAAACTGAGATTACAAAAAGCAAAATCACCAAAATTAGACAATAGCAGATTAAGTGTTGCCTGGTCCGATGGGATGGTAGGATCAAAATGTTGCGTAAACAGCATGAAAGCATGGATCCATCCTCCCTTGTGTTAACAGTTCAGCCAGATGATGGTGGTGTAATGGTTGGAGATCTTTTCTTGGCGCACTTTGGGCCCCTTAGCCCCAACTGAGCATCATTTTAATGCCACAGTCTGAGTCCTGTTACTATGTCCATCCCTTTATGACCACAGTGTACCCACCTTCTGATGGTTGCTTCAGCAGGATTTGAACGCACCATGTCACAAAGTTCAAATCATCTCAGGCTGTTTTTTTGAACATGACTGCATTCAAATGCCCTCCACACTCACCAGATTGGGTATGGTGGAACAGAAGATTCAAATCATGGAT